AAAAAGGGAGGAGCAAGCCTCTTTCTTGCCTTATATCATACGCAGGATTCCCGCCGCAGGACGGGAGCCTCACTCACACCAGCAATCCTAGCACTAGACGACGAACCAATCACCAGCCCTAGATTCAGTCACCTCTGAAAAGCCTGCCCCATATCCTCATGAGGCTTTGCAGGTACATCTAGACAATAAACCACAACAGCCTTGTTGTGCTTTAGATCTAGGATGTCCCCCAGAGCCTCCTATGTTCAGATAGGGCTTTTGGAAGGTGACTGGGCTGTGGGGGCACTGACCTATGTTAGGAGGTCGGGCATGGGTGGGGTGGGTCACTGAGGGAATGACCTAGAAGGGGTATCCCCTCTCTGCTTCTTGGGCACCACGACGTGAGAATGAGAAGTGTTCCTCTGCAGCAGGCCCTTCTACCATTTCTGTGTTTGAGCCTGACAATCATGGACTGAAGCTTCTGAAACTCAAGCAAAATAAACTTCTCAGCCTTTATGTTTGGGTATTGTTCTCAGTGAGGCAAGAGTGACTAAGACAGGCCTTTTATGCAAAAGGAAAATCTTAAAGAAATCTCCATATATAGCTAAAAGTGTCACATATAGCTAACCATGTAGCAGATATATAATACGCACTAGCTAATAAGTACTATTCTAAATACTCATTAATAACTTAAATCCTCACAGTTATCTTCTGAAATAGGTAATATGAACCTCATTTCTTAGTTGAAGAAATATGAGGCACAGATACTAGATAATTTACAAGTTAGAAACAAAACTAGGATTCAAATTCTGGCAACCTAGCCACAGAGCCTATCTTCCTGAATGCTAATCCTTGCTGCCTTTCGGTGACTTAGATTCTCAAGCCACTGGTGGTTTTCTACGAAGATGCAGGAGTTTTATTCTTCTCCACAAAGTTTATTTGTATTAATAAGCAACATTATATTAATTTCCCCTGGAGAGAAAAACTGAGTTCATTCCAAAACATGCAAAAGTGATCCCAAAAACCAAGGTCCATCATGCTTTTGCTTAGAACAGATTAATTTCATTAATTTCAAATTGTTATAGAGGAATGAGTGTACTATTTTCCCTTTTAGAAAACAAATATATCTCCCTATAATTACACAAATAGAAAAGAAATTAGCAAAATGTAGTAATTTTACACAAGAGTTAAGGCTGTAAAATTACTTTTGTCCTAGAGAAGCTAAACATTTAAGCACTGAAAAATAAGTGCCAAGTGAATCAAAGCGGTGTGCTGATCAATACTTGCCTCTCTGAGGAAAATCTCCATATCTTCTTGACTTTCAAACACAAAAGCTCTCAAATCATTTGACGAAATATGATTTTCAATATATTTGGCATTTTTATTATCTTTCATGTTGATCTAAACAGAAGGAAAATTGACTTTCATGAAATCCACTGACTATCAGAACATGTCTGTATATAACCTGTACTTAATTAAATTCACTTCTGTACTAGGACAAGAAAAAAGTAACGACGTGGTACTAAAAGTTCATTTCAAAACACTGAATTTGTTACTCAGAAACAACCAATCCATAAACAAAAGATCTGATTTGAATAGTACCAGAGAGATACATACCAATTTTCATGCTATGAAATAATTTTAGTTACTTTCTGGCCAGCTCACTGAAAACATCTGAAAGTACTAGATTGTGATCCAAGAATATAAACACTTCTTATCTTTTCCAAACTTTTTCTTTTTTTAAGACAAGGTTTTGTTATGCAGCCCACGCTGATCTTGAGCTCACAACCCTCTTGTCTTAGTTTCTCAATTTTCCCACACATTTAATATTTTTCTTTTAATCTTCAAGAGAACTTCATATACATGGTGATTAAGTGACAGGCATAATAACACAAAGAAAAAGTAAAAATCTTTATAAAACTAATTTTTTAAAAATGTTGCTATAGTTTAACTGTAACTGTTACCAATTTTTTTTTTTTTTTTTTGGTCTTTTTGAGACAGAGTCTTGACATGTAGTTCGTTCAGGCTGGCCTTGAGCTCACTTTGTAGCTCAGGCTGGCCTTGAACTTGAAATGATCCTCCTGCCTCTGCCTCCCAAGTGCTAGGATTATAAGCATGCGCCACCACGCCCAGCTAACTGTAACTGTTAGTGCCTTCAAGAGAAACCCTAGGCTTCCACCACCACAATAAGAAACTTACTGATTTATTTTACAAATACTAATTACTAGTATTAACTAATGTCTGAACGCAAGGCTCAATTCCATGGATGCCTTAAGATACATGTCAGGGAAAAAGAGAACGGTCTCAAAAAGGGTATAACTCCCTAATTTTCTTTTTTATTTTAAAAAGAAAAAGCCAATAAAAATGATACCCAATTTCAAAACAAGATTACAGGAAATTAACAATGGTTATTACATTGTATACTGTCATCTTCATTTTTTGAAGATTACCAGATGTAGACATGCAAAGTTGATCAAACAATATAAACGCTAACTGTTCCTTTCAATGAACTATTAGAAATTAGTACAATTATCTTAGCTATCTTGTGTGTGTGTATATATATTTTTCCCCCCTTCCTTCTTTTCTCCTTTCCCTCATCATCCCAGTTGCTCTTTCTTTTTAGTAGTTTCTTTCTCTTTCACAATATCTACTATACCTTTTGGATGTTATTTACTCTTTCAGTTTCTTATATGAGAGAGACAATACAGTAACAATTTATTATTTTTTGCAGATGAGTATGTTGAAAAACATAGCTCTCATTAAAAAAAGTAAATTAAAAAGTGTTATTTGTGGAATTTTAGAGGAGACATGAATTACCTCCAGCAGATAAAAGTCAGCTTTCTTGAATAATAAAAACCTTTTTTCATTATTAATGAAATAATGAATTTCATAATAAATTGAGGTGTTTATGTCCCATAATAACCATGAAGAACGCTAGGTGACCTTCGGCTCTAGGGTCAGAAAGACACCCTTTCAAATCCTATGTGTGATCTTAATCAAGTACTACTCAAATCTCAGAAAGCTCTAGCTACATCATCTGTAAAATGAATAGAATAAAATAGTATATCCTCACAGAACTAAATATGGATTAAAGAACATAACAACATGAATAAAATTAGTACAATACTTGCTACATAAGTATTAGCCAATACTACTACTCCCTAATTCCAGATTTTTTTTTTTTTTTGGCCTTTTTGAGACACTATCCAGTTTCACTACTCAGTTCAGACTGGCCTCGAACTCAAAGCAATTCTCCTGTTTCAGTTTCCCAAGTGCTGCGATTACAGTTGTGCGATCATGCCCCAGGATATTAAGTACACAAAAATGGGAAAATAGACACACAAGTAAAAAATTAAAACCATATCAACAAGGCATACGCACTCTAAGCCTTTAGCATCTTGTTCTCTAATTTTTTTGGTAAACTTTGGTATTACTTTATTAGAAATATAAATGAAAATGAGAGGAATTGTAAGTAGACACTTACCCTTCAACATACAGAAAAGATAAAAGTGACCACAATATTATCAAAATAAGTAATTCTTTAAATAGCTATGGGCAATCCAGCCTAGGACTTAAATCTCATTATCACTTTCCCCCAAGGTGTATTTATAAGAGACAATCTGTCTTTCAGATTCTGGGACCTTCACTTTGTGTACTGGTTACACCGCTATTCAATTATTTGATGTATTTCCTGTTAAGTCAGGTAATGAGTTCAGTTTTTTCACGGACCAGTACTTGCAGTTCCAATAGTGACTGATTCATAGTTTTTCCAAGTGTAAAACATATTCCACTGCATTCACAGTCTGGCTTCCTAACATCCTCAAGGAAGAGTTAGCCACCTTGTTGATTTTTTCAGTTTCCAGTTTCTTTACATGCTCTCTCTCCTCATGAGATCAGTGAAGAAAATACTGGTCAAACTTTTTCAAAGAACTTCACGGTCATAGCTTTACAAAGTTGTAACATAAATGATAGGGAAATAATGGAGACAGAGCATTCCAAAATGAGCAGGTGGTTGATGACAGCTTCTTGTTTCCCAATTTTAAAATAAAATTTTCCTACACATCCTACTATGTAACCTGTTTTATAATTCATGAACATGTCATGTATACTATTACTTGAGAGCTACACCTATATTTTTAATGTCTGAGTAGCATTCACTGTAAGAGTAGAGTAATTTACTTCACCAAGTGGTACTTTTGTAAATTCTCTTCTTTTACCCCATCAGTCTGCGACTATAAATATTACTGTAAGAAGTACATCTATAAATAAACCTATCTAAACTTCTCTAACTCTAGACTGGAACTGTTAGAAATCATGGAAATAGATTTTCAAGTGACAAGTTACATGTCTTAATTTTAAGTTTGCATATTGCTAACCTGTCTAGGGAGGTGGTAATATTTCAACTAATCTCTGAAGGGTTACGGATGGACAGAGGTGATAGGTTAATGTAAGAAAAATGACAGATGACAAATCTAAACTAAAAAGTTCTGAAATATTATTTTAAATTTGGCATTTTTATAAAAATCTGCTGACAATTATATTTGCATTAAAACTTATACCAAGGGCAAAAGTATTTATCTTTTCTTTCAGTCTTCATCAGATTATTCAAAACAGTTTCTATATCCAAAATGGAAACTGTCTTCCCGATCTGGCAAAAATATTTTAATGCATCCCTGAACAAGAAGAGACTATATTATGCACATCAGTTTTGCTATTGTAAGATATAATAAAAGATTAAAATTTATATAAATGATTCTATAAAGTATAACACAAATAGAAGTTATAGAAAATTAAACTTTCTGCCAGGTGTGGTGCGGACCTATAATCCTAGAACTCAACATGCTAAGGCAGAAAGACTGTCATGAGTTCAAGCCCATCCTGAACTACATTGTGAGACCCTGTATAAAAAACAAAAGAAAGTAACTCTTTTCATGAATCCTGCAAGGATCTATAATCAATTTTTTTTTTTGAGACAGGGTCTTGCTACTTAGCCCAGGATGGCCTTGACCTTGTGGCGATCCTCTTGCCTCAACCTTCCAAGTGCGGGGCTTACAAGCATGTGCTACCATGCCTGACCAATCAAATCTTTTTTTCAAATAACCTAGCAAAAATAATTTATATCTGGGCAAGTCTCAAGTTTATATATCTATATCTAACACATTATCATCGAAGAATAGTTTTTCACTTTTTCATTCCTTTACACAGCCAAACTTTATGTAATTTTCCATAAATTGCCCTGGTGCCCTTGAACTTGTGATAATGCTCTTGCTTTGGCTTCGTAAGTAGCTGGGGACATGTGTGTACCACTGTACTCAGCTTCTTAACCTGATCTCGCTGGCCCACAAACAGCAGTTAAGGGGTACTAAATATTTTATAATGCTAACAAACTATTTCATTATAAAAATTCTCAGGCTGCCCTTTATTACAGCAGGTGATTTCCTTGCCTATCCTGTCACGAGTCCCTTTATCGACATTTTTTGTTTATACTATTTTCTACCTCCTTGGCAGGTTTTAATCCATTACACACTAAGAACCGGCTAACCAGGATAATTTCATACATGATTCATGGAGGGTAAGCTGTTGGTTTCACATGCCTTTTCTCCAGAAAAAAGTTCACAGGTTTTTTTCAATAGTTACTTACCCTTATTGATCACAAGACTTTTATAAACCTCATATTCAAATTCAGTCCTATACCAGAGATGTCACATATCCACACTAGAAAAGGTATTAGGTGGACTAAGAGTTCTTAAAATACAAAAATCTACAATGACTGCAATAATAAAACCAAAAGATTCCACAAAGATAAGTAAATTTCTTACCATAAGCATTATGGGCTCACAAACTCTTTGCTTAAATTTGTCTCTGTTACTTCTCAGCCATAAAACAGCTTCATATGTATCCCGGTACCTCTGTCTCAGCTTATCTTCTTTCTGATTCATAAGATTGTCAAAACGTACAATATGCTCACCCACACCTAAAATTGGAAAGTGAGTACTGTTTTTCTGAAAACGTTAAGCCATGAAATAATCTATTAATAACACAAAAAAACTACCCTAGATCTAAATGTTACAAATACAACTCAGCAAATACTCAACATAGTGGAAAAGACCTGGCCCAGATTAATCATTTTAAAATTCCTAATACCTAGGATAATAAAATGATCTTGACTCTACTTAAAATAAAAACAAGTCACCTACAAAAGAATGAGAAAAGTGCTAGCTTTCCTGTCAGACGACACAAGCAAGAAGCCTTCAAATTTCTGAGAAGATGCATATGGTAGCGCACTCCTGTAGTCCCAGCACATGGGAGGCTAAAGCAGGAGGATGGCACAAGTGTGACACCAGCCTGGACTACATAGTAAGCTCAACACCAGCCTGAACTACATAGCAAGAACCTGTTTCAAAAAGAAAAAGAAAAACAATCTGAGAAGCCAGGTGTGGTGGTGCACGCCTATAATCCCAGCTAGGAGGCTGAGGCAAGAGAACCCCAAATTCAAGCCCAGCCTTGGCAATTTAGTACCTTAGTGAGACCTTGTTTCAAAATAAAAAATAAAAAGAACTAGAGATGTTGCTTAGTATGCAGGACCTGGGTTCAATCTCCACTACTGAAAAAAAAATTTATGAAAGAAAATTTACCTTTCAACACATACACAACAAAATGAAGACCAGGGATGCAATTAATAAATGAAATTAATTCTCAGATATCTTTTCTTATGAAGTTATCTGAAAATGCAGTCTAACAAAATAAGGGAATACTCTGTTTAAGGAAAACAAAGGGGAGAAACACGGAATTCAGGAATAGCTTTACTCAACACAGGAAAAGTGTGAGAAAAGTCCCAGATGACAATCAGGTTAAGAGCCTTGAAAACAACCAGTTTAAATGGAAAGCCACAGAATTCAAGAGAATGTCTGAGTCTTTTTTCCTCCTTCCTTTTCTTCAATGTAGGAAAATGCTAAAGCAAATGGTGTTTTTTCTGAAGTTCATTAAAACCTTATAAAATTATCAATAAAGTGAAATTTAATTACAATATACAATTTGGCTTGGCTACAAAAAAATTTTGTTGCTGCAGTAAGCAATATATAGCAATCTAAACTTCTCGAATTAACACATTTCCACCAGCTTGAACCACTGGTGGCACATGCATGACTGTCCTATTGGGGGGCTTATACTGCCTGACTGCCCTATGCTGCCCAAAGGGACAGTCATGTACACACTACCAGTGGTTCAGAGCCACATGGCAGGAAGACATGAGTTACAGCCCTGTCATGAACGTTGCTGACCCACAGAACACATCAAACAATTATTGTTCTCAATCAAATGTAGATGTTTCTAGCTTTGAAAATATAAAAGCCAAAGTACAGATGAGAGCATATGAGTATGAGAAGAATGGGAGTACTACAGTATAGTTTATCTTACAGAATATACACTCAACACTGACAGTTGTTAAGTGACACAAAAAGATATACCATTTATAATGAAAATCAGTATTATTAATATAATAATCTAATTTGACAAACTGCAGTAACAGGGAGGTAAGTATTATAAGGTAAAATCAACAGCTGGCATAAATATCCAAAGTGATGTCTAAAGTTGATTAATCAAACAACTGTGAAATAAGTGAATTCAATGCCAGCTTGCACTACAGTGAGACCCTGGCAAAGAGAGACGGGTGGGGGAAGGAAGGAGGGAGGGAAGAAAGAAAAAGAAAAGATCATAAAAACTGCTAAAAGAATTAAGTGATTACTTTTGAGAGTAGGTCTGGAGGTAGGAAAGAGGTTATACCACCTTTCCCTTCTAGTTCTTTGTAACTATAAGGACACAAATGTAGTCCTCCAATAAACATGTAATAATGGTTTTTTAAAACTAATATATTGATCATATATATTGAGCAGATAAGATCTCTTCTACCCAAATAATGTGATCAACCTACACACATGGTCTATACAATAAATAAAAATAAATATGAAATTAGAGTTCAAAGAACAAAGCTAACAGCAAGGCTAGGATAGTTTAAATCCAATCTGTGTCTCTGTAAGGAAAATAAAGGTAAGCATTTTTAGACACTTAAATGCTGCAACTGGACATAAGACAATGATCGAATGGTGGAAAATCATGGCATGCAATAGCTGTCGGTAATTAAGGCACAACCCTGGAAGAACTGAATTGAGTTTCCTATGGAGACTTGAACCGTAAAAAGCAATGAGTATTAGGGGAAGAAGAAAGCCAATCAACAGATATATCGGTATCAGGTCTATTTTATAAACAGTTCTTTGCCCTAAGAAAACTTACTCTTTTTCTCTTTCTCCAGAGTCTCCCTCTCCCTCCGTTTATCAATTATCTCGCCTTCACATAATGCCTTTTCATCTTGAACTCGTCTCAGGTCATTTGTAATGGCATCAATCTGAGGCTGAAGATTCTCACAGTTTTCTGCAGTCCTTAGTTCATTTTGCAAATCCTCTATCATTTTGCGAGTATTACTTATTCTCTTCTGTCGGTCATGTTCTTCATTTTGTTTTACTGTTAAAGCTTGCTGAAGTTCCTCAATCTATTAAAACAGAAGTAGGTTAGTACTTCAGATGATTTGTTTTCTATTGGTTTACAAGGCATTCATAGTAATAAGGTGTATGGGGCTGGAGGTGTAACTCAGTAGTAGAGCACCTGCCTAGCATGAAGCCCTGGGTTTGACAATCAGCACCATGCCTTTCAAAAAATCAAACAAGCAAAGACCATGGGTGTTTTCCTCATGAAAAGGTAATCGGCTATAATGAGACTAGCAGATTACCAGTCCTACTAGACTACCTGTATCTTTATTTGTTGTCTAATATAGTCTAACTATAGTACCTAGAGAAGTCCGTACAAGGTGCATTACATACTCATTGAATAAATTATAAAGCCAATCAATTTCTAAATAGAGGTAATACATACTACATATCATACAACTGAAATTAAAAGTCATATGATATAATAATTTCAATAAATAGAAATCCAATTGAAATGTAAGGCATTTTAACTTTAAACTAGAACAAACTGTGACAAAATTTTGTTCAAGGAACATTTCAAGTTAATATTGTGGATTTAATCATCAATCTTTATAATTAAAACTTTTGACTTATAATCAGTATAAATTATTTTTTAAAAGCCAGAAATGTTGATTGTCACCTGATGTCAGTGGAACTTTTATCAAAACCAGTTACAATTTTCCTTAACACAGACATGTGTTGCACACAGAGATATAATCCTATGCTTTTATAACTACAACTCTGTATCTGAGTAAGGCTAACACTTTATATACCTGTTTGTTAGCTGGCTTTATATGTACATCACATTTATTCCCTCCTCTTTCACATTATAAATGTTGTAACACATTCATTACAAAAATATGGATAATCACTTATAATCCAAATGTCTTTAAACATCTACATTTTAATGCCTACTACTATCTTATAGAATAGTTATTTCTATCAAATGGCACTACTAAAAATTTGAGAGCTGTTTCTCACTATACCCCATGTTCTTGCAAAATAAAATCATCACCTGTATAACATCCTGGTATATGAATATACATTACTCTCCTATTCCCTATTTTTAGGAATTTGAAGTGGTGCAAATTTTTTCTTTGAAAAACTTCAGCTTTGGCAATATCAAGATATTGCACTAAGCATATGCCCAAATCACCTCTCCTATACCAAAGACCAAAATGAGAGAAAATGTATTTGAAAAGAATGAAGTATCTGTCTTAAAAACTAACAATGTTCAATGGATCAAAGAGGGGGCAGTAGACAAGAAGTCTTACTTTTCAGCCAGGAAACCCATGAAGTCAGCCTAAGACACTTGGGAGAAGATCACAAGAAGACAAGTGTAAAAGTAAGAATGATCAAACACAAAAAGTCTAATCCCATGAAAAGGGAACAAGAGATTTAACATACATAAGCTTCGCACTCCTAGTATGATGGAGACCAAGCTATTGAAAATCACTGGGCTGAGAGCGATACATGATACGTATGTTTATAGCAGCAGAGTCTGTAATAGTCAAATCTTGGAAACAGCCCAAGTGCCCATCAACTGGTGAATGGATAAAGATGCGGGTTTTTATACAACAGAGTACTACTCTGCCATAAAGAAGGTCATGCTTGAGATAGTTCTAGGAAAATAGATGCACTTTGAGTCCATACTCTTAAATGAAATAAATCATACACACATGTAAATATCACACTGTTTCTCTGGTGTAAGAAACCAAAAGAGTAAATAAGGACCAAAATGTATATTAGGTATTGTGAAATACGAAGAAAATGTTCAAATGGAGAAGGAATAAAGGTGAGGAGAGAGGGAAAGGAAATAAAGGAAAAGTAAAAAAGAGAGAAAAGAAGGAAAACAGAAACAAAACTTCTGTAAATGGGGAAGGGAGGAGGGGTTGAAGGGAGGATAAGGGAATGGGAATAAAAACAAGTTATACCATGCACAGGTACAAATTTTCTATGATGAATGTGATCATGATGTATCTAAAATGTACCAATGAAATCTGATTAAAAGAAAGAAAGAAAATCATTGGGCTGGCAAAGAAAGCTTACTGAAATAGTCTCTGACTTTGACCTAAAAAAAAAAATTAAAAAGCAGTCCAATAGTTCCTTATATTTTGGTTTAATTTTCTGAACTCTTAATTAATTTGCCTCTTTCACACAAGAAACTACGCTGACTAATCAGTTCTACCATCATCAAAACTCACGTTTAGCTCAAGCACAGTTAATCTACACCTTCTATTCACCTATCTTCACTAGGACACTATAGTCACACCGCTTTATCTTCAATTTCTCTCAATATTCCTTTTTACTCTTCACTGAAATTTTTTTTTTTTTGGTTTTTCTCTGGTACTGGGAATTGAACTCACGACCTTGCACTTGCCAGGCCGGCACTGTGCCGCTGAGCTAAAGCCCCTTCTTCACTGAAATACAGATACAGCTCAAAGACACATCTCCTTAGACCCCCACCATAACCCATTACTGTCATAGCAGCTGAGTTAGATAGAAATATTATAGGCAGTCAGACAGGGTCAGTCAGGCCCTGGAAGGAGCCAACAGGAAAGACAAGACATGTATTTGCTGTGGGCCAGACCTCAAGACAAAGGACTAAATAAATGCACCCACATACCGCCCTAGGTGTAAACATCAGGGATTGATATTCTAAATAGGTAGCAGCCACCTTGAAGAGTCACCCAGTGCGTTACAGGAAAAGCCCCTGTTCCCCATTTGATCACGATTTGATCAATTTTACCTGAACAATTCTTATGGGCTGACCATAGTTTTGTCCATTTTCCCCCTACTCTGGACCCACCTCACCTCGTGCCTCTGCTCTATAAAAGTCCCTAGAAAAGACAGAGCGTTGGGCAACCACTCTTTTGTCCCTCTCTTGGACAGAAGCTTTCTTTCCCTCAATAAATATATTCTGCTCTTAACCTCTGTTGTTCCTAAAATTCATTCTTCGATTTTAGAGAACACAAACCAGTCCCAGATATCGTTCAGGTTGGGAGTTTTTATTTTCCTGTATCGTCATTTCAGGACTCAGAGGTGGAGATTCTCACTGCCACTCTACTGCTTCATCCTTTAACTGAGCCCCACTTCAGTTCCTTTAAAGGCTAATGATCAGACTTTGCTACCCATGTTCCTTATTACTATGTTGCTGCCTCCCTTCAAATTCTCCCTCATTATTCACTCACTGAGACTTTAACACCTCAATGATTCAATGTCTTCACCCATCACTGTGTCTGTCATCGTGTGACTTCAACCTAACTCTTTGGTCTCTGTGTTCCATATTGTTTTAACTTCAATCATCTTTTCCTTATATTGAAGATCATGTACATCACCAAAAATAATACCACCTCTGAAAACTGTATTTCCTTTTTTTTTTCTTTTTGAGACAGTTTTGCTATGCAGTTCAGGCTGGTCTTGAACTCACAGCAATCCTCCTGCCTCAGCCTTCAAGTGCTGGGAGGCATGTAGATTATTAACAATTATGTACCAACTGTATACTTTCTATCCAGTCCTAATTAAACTTAACCATATATCACCAGGGGCAAACCTATGGCGCACGTGCCACCGCAGGCTGCTTGTTAGCACTGAAAGTTCTAAAATATCTGCCTTCACCCTACACTTCCTCAACCTAAGTACATGCTGCATGTGTCTAATCAACTGAACTATCTGAAGAAACCTTAAAAACTGGTCTCACTTTACATTTGTAGCCATAAAATTTAAATAGGCAACCACAACTACTACTAATATACTTCTCTAATAAAATCTATGCCCTATGCCAATGGTGGCACATTCCTATAATTCCAGCCACTTGACAGGCTGAGAAAAGCACAAGACCACCCTGGACAATGCAGCAAATCCCTGTCTCAAAATAAAAAAAACAAAAAGGGCTTGGGACGTAGCTGAGTTGAAGGGCACTTGCTGGGCATGTAGAAGCCCTTGAGTTCAATCTCAGTATCACAAAAACACACTGTGTGGCCTCGTTCTGATTTAAATTCTTATCTCATCCTTCCCTCTCAATGCTTTATTGTTATCTATCCTCTATTAACTCATGATCCTGGTGAACTTGCCTCATACTCGATCAATACAATAGTTAAAATCAGAATACTCCCTTTTCCTGCTTTCAAACCCATCACCCTACCTACATCTGTACTCACTCCACTTTATCTTGTACAGTATAAGGACAGTCCCTAGAGTTAAACCAATCCCCTCAAGGCTACTCCTAAACAGTGTTTTTCAAACTATTTACAATAAACAACCATTAAAAAAGAGCCAGTAGGCCATGGAACACACACCCATAATCCCAGCAGTGAAAAGGCTGAAGTAGGAGGACCTCAAGTCTGAGGCTAGCCTGGACTCCACAGCAAGACTTTGTCTTTACAACAATAGAAACAAACAAACAAAAAACAAGCTATATTATGAACACTTATTTTTTAAGATTTGAACCCAGGGCCTCCCACAAGCTGAGCTATATCCCTAGCCCTACAAGTTAACTTTTACCAATTGCTGTGAAAATAAATTACCAACAATTATTTTTCAAGCAATGCGTCAATTCCCTTAAAAGTTTAATGTAAACCACGATACTGTACTCTTAGGAAATGATCCAGCAGAAATGAAAACGTATGTCTAAACATTGCTACGAAGAATACTAACACCAGCTTAACCAGTAATAACCCCGAACTAAAGACCACTTACATGACCTTTGAAAGAATGATTGATTAGATAAATGGTTATCTCAAAAAAAGAAAGAGAAACAATGCAGAATATCAAATTTTGTGGGACACAGTAAATCAGAATTGAGAGGACAATTTATAGATCTAGGAGTGATAAAGAGTGTATAGCTCTAAGAGGGCACATAAGAAAAGAAAGTCTCAAATAATCTATACTCCACTTCAAGAACCAGGTAAAAAGAACAAAAAAACCTGTATCAAGGAGAAGAAAGCAAGTAATACAGGTAAGTGAGACTGAAAACAGCAAAACCAGTATTAATGAAACACAGCAGGTTACTCAAAACCCATAAAAT